TCATGACATAAATAGCTGTGGGAATGGAGTGTCAGGCAATACTGAAACTCATATGGAATTGCATAGGAAAGGATATATGGCACAAAGACAGGCCATTTGATTCATTTGAGGTTTCTCTCATCGAAATCTATTTTCAAAATCATCTTCCCTCCTACACTTGTCTAGTTTCCCCTTAAATATCTCTTCACTCAACTATTCTCTGTGGAAGTGCTTTTCACATTCTCCCCCTTCTTTGTACGAAGGCATTTCTTCTAAATTTCCTATTCGATTTTAGGGTGACTATATAATATTATAGTGTCTAGTTACGCTGTTCCCACAAGAAAAAAGAACTGATTGATTATTGCGTTATAACATGAATTTAGTTGGTGACAATGTATAGTAAGGTGATATGAAGAAAAATATACACAGCAAGTGGTTAGGCTTAGTTCGGTTTTACATTGCAATTTTGAAGGTTGAGTGAATGATTCAGTTTGCAAGTCGGCCAGTGGTTGTAACAATAGCAGCTCTCTCCAATACTGTGTTTAAACTCTTCAGAACCTTTTGTTCTGTCAACCTATGGCTTTGCAGACAATACATCCAAATAAAAGGTTTGACTTTCGGAAACTACAACACAGCAAAGAGACAAAAACAAAGGACTTAATAATCTCCATGTTTAGACTTTAGAAGAAAAGGGAAAACAAGCTCTAGGACATATTTAGAATCCCTTGTATTTACTTCATGTCAGGTGGTAAAATTACACTGCTGACATAGTCAAGGTTGGTTCAAACATACAGTGCAAGGTTAAAACTCTTTTTCTTAAAAGTAATCATTCATAGGATTTGGGCATAACTGGTTCGGCCAAAATCTATTGCCCAGAGGACAGTTAAGAGTCAACCACATTGCTGTGGGTCTGGAGTCACATGTAGGCCAGACCAGGTAAGGATGGCAGTTTCCTTCCCTAAAGGACATTAGTGAACCAGATGGGATTTTCCGACAATAGACAATGGTTTCTTGGTCATCATCAGAATGTTAATTCCAGACTTTTTATTACATTCAAATTCCACCATTTACCAAGGCAGGATTTGAACCCTAGTACACAGAGCATTGTCTGGGTCACAGGATTAATACCACTAGGCCATCACCTCCCTAGATTTATTGCCAATTCCCTATTGCCCTTGAAATAAGTAGCTTGCTAGGTTATTTCAGAGGGCTGTACGTAGGTACATGTGACAGTGATAGACATTATCAAATCAAATATGGGTGGCACGGTGGCTCAGTGGTTAGTACTGCTGCGTCACAGTACCAGGGACCTGGGTTCAATTCCACCCTTAGCCAACTGTCTGTGTGGAGTTTGCACATTCTCCCCGTGTCTGCGTGGGTTTCCTCCGGGTGCTCCGGTTTCCTCCCACAGTCCAAAGATGTGCAGGCTAGGTGGACTGGCAATGCTAAATTGCCCATAGTGTTCAGGGATGAGTGGTATAGTGGGATGGGTTCTGGGTGGGATGCTCTGAGGGTCGGTGTGGACTTGGGCCGAAGGGCCTGTTTCCACACTGTAGGGATTCTATGATTCTAAATCAAACCAAACATTGCCATGGATCTGGAGGCACATGTAAGCCAGACCAGGTAAGCTCAGCAGCTTTCCTTCCCAAATGGCCATTAATCAACCAGATGGAATTTTCCAACAATGGTCACCATTAGGCTAGTATTTAATTCCAACGTTTTAAAATTGAATTCAAATTTCACCATCTGCCATGATGGGACTCTCCAGAACATTAGGATCACTGGATTATCAATCTAGTGGCATTCCCACTGCACTACAGCTTCCCTGTAAATTTTCTACAGTGCTATACAACTCAATGAAATATCAGCTCAGCCTCAGAGGTATAGTTTGGAGTTTTTTCCAATGCAGCTATTTTGTTTCTCAACTGGAGGGATGGTGAAATTTGAAGCACAAACGTTTAGCAAGTCCAAATAAAAACCATAACTAAAACTATGCTCCTTAAGAATGGGAATTATTGTTAAGAAACAAATTTCTGAAAGGCAAGTTGTTCACATTTGAAACTCCTTTAGCATTATACCTTGATTTAACTGTACAGGTCTGGTAAAGGCTATGATCCATTTGGCAAGTTCTCGAGCCAGCACTTGTCACACCTTCCGATTTTCCGTCAGGTTCTTATTCAATGTCCCACTTCAATTTGCTGTCACTAATCCCTTTCTGACGGTCCATTTCATAGATAAATGTGTCTTTTTCATTGATGACTTATTAAAGTTCACATTCTGAATTCAGATCTAAGGGACTTGAAGTGCAGACCTTCTGAGGCCAAATATAAAGTTAAGCACAATCTGCATATGCCATCCCTACTTGACTACTTTGCCCCTAATGCCACATCTTTGCTTTTTACCAGGGTGCCATTCAACAATTGACCATCACACCAAACCCTGAGGATGCAGAGAAGCTGGAGTACATGATGTGTGATGATAACTTGGTGATTGAAGGTGATGATGAAGATGACCCAGAGGTATGAACTGCGCAGTTAGAGACTGAGTGGTGCAAAGTGGTTGGGACTTTGCCCTTCTCTGTGTCACACATCAGAGCAAGGGGGTTCACTTTAGGGATGTGAAAGTATTTGTTTTAAAAGAGAGCTTGATCAATAGTTGAAATCTGGCTTTGTCCAGCTACTGGTCTCTCATAGGAAATAGATGCTCAAATGGAAATATGGCTGGGTTTGTATCAGATAGTTGGCAGAACTATTTTTGATCTTGCCACTTTCTCTCCAGAATGGCTCCGGTCCAGTCTCAGCTCCTTAATGATAGATGACACAGAACTGACAATGAAATTAACAGCTGAATAGTTTGGGAAAAGGACAGTTCACTTGGGTACCGCTGTGTAAGAACCATCTGACGTTGGGGTTACAGTTTACTCAAATCGAAGCAGAGCAGAAAGATTGATCCTCAAAATCTATGTTGTTGGCATTCACTGATTTCAATCTATCACGCTAATCAGCACTGAAAAACATTAACTAGCTACTCAAACAAATAACAGCATTTCACAATTGTAGAATGGTATAAAGGGCATTGCAGGATTTTTGACCACAGAACCTTGTATTGGCTTCTGTCTATCAATTCCCCACCACACTACCTTGCCTCTCTACATTGTCTTTCCTTCTCTAAGACATATCTTAAAACTTACCCCTTTGTCTAAACTTTTAGTCATGGATCTTATCAGTCTTGATGTGGTTGGGTGTCATATTTTGTTTTATAATGACCTAGTAAAGCACTTTGGGACTTTTATTTCCTCAAGTCTGCTATTTCAATAGAATTTGCCTCGGCCAAAAACAACTGAGTTTTGAAACAGTCCCCACAGACATGTAAATTCTCACCAAACAAAATGTTAGATAAGGCCAGTAGCATGCAGGTCATTGGCATATCAAAATGGTCAGTTCCTGTTCTCAGGAGGACATGGTGCCAAGACAAACTTCTCAACTGCCAGGGGAAATCAAAGAGAGAGAGAGAGAGAGTCCATCCCTATAATCCTCAGCATTTGTGAGGGCCGGCTCTCAGTTTAGGGAATGCTGGAATGCTGCAGGCAAGGATGCCCCGAGTCTTGTTATATTGGTGAAAACATGCAGACGCTACAACAACAGATGAATGGACACCACGCAATGTTCACCAGACAGGGATGTTCCCTCCCAGTGGGGGAACACTTCAGCAGTCAAGGGCATTCAGCCTCGGATCTTCGGGTAAACGTCCTCCAAGGTGGGCTTCGGGATACACAACACAGAGTCGCCGAGCAGAGGCTGATAGCCAAGTTCGCTACCCATGAGGACGGCCTGAACCGGGATCTTGGGTTCATGTTGCACTACAGGTGACCCCATCACACAATACACTCTCACACACACACACACACACACCGACCCTCCTTCAAACACAGACACTCTCTTACACACACATACAGTCACACACACACACACACACACACACACAAGCACACACACATTCACATGCACACACACACATTCACGCACACACAGAAACACAGACACACACATTCACATGCACACACACACACGCACATTCACATACATACACACACACGCATTCACATGCACGTGCACACAACACACGCATGTGCACACACACGCACGTACACACGCGCGCACACACACACACACACACACACACAAACAAATTCTCTCTCTCTCTCCTTCCCTCACACACACACAGGCACATATAAATCTATGGGGTGAATTTAGATTTGCAGATTAGTAATTGCAGATACATTGTATTTTGTTCAAAAAGCACACAATTTGTAGACAGTCAGTCAATGTGGCATTTTATAAATTCCTACTTTGGAAATGAAACCAGTCTGACTCCAAAGTAAAACAAAGCCAGATTCTAAACAAGGCCTCACACCTAAAATGCACTGTCTGACCTGAGATGTTACCTCCGGTATATTGAGGGAACTGATAAAGACTTTAGTTATCTCAGGACAGCGACTTGAAAGAAATTCTGGGATTTGCATATTAATCAATCAAAACCTGCATCTCTTTTCTAACTGATTAAAGATTTAACAACCATCTTCAGTTTGTTCAATACATTCACATCAGTTCAATGGCCCTTTGATCTTTTGCTTATAAATTCTGTGTCTGATGCCACCTCTCTCACTGCCACCTGAAGAAGGAGCGGGGCTCTGAAAACTAGTGTTTTCAAGTAAATCTGTTGGACTATAGAGATAGTAGGAACTGCCGATGCTGGAGTCTGAGACAACAAGGTGTAGAGCTGCAGAAAATTTTCTGAAGAAGGGTCCGGACCCGAAATGTCAGCCTTCCTGCTCCTCTGATGCTGCCTGGCCTGCTGTGTTCATCCAACTCCACACTTTGTTATCTGTTGGACTATAACCTGGTGTTGTGTGATTTTTGACCTTGTCCACCCCAGTCTAACACCGGCATCTACACGTTAAGGAATGGTGGGACACATTGGGTAATGGACAACCACATGGAGCTGACAGCAAATAAATTCTAAAATAACTTGCTCCCACTTTTATGGGAGCTTCCATGCAATGTTTGCCCTGTTCAACTTGCATAAGTCACCCTCATAACCAAATGTAACAAAATACACACACACAGGTAACCTAAAGAGTAGAAAGCAATTGCTCTGAGCCTGGGAACTGCATTGTTTTATTTGTACATCTTGATGTTTAGTGCAATACTGCAGGACAGTAATATACACTGAATACAGGTATGAGTCCCAGTAAATAAAACTTGTGAAAACACTCGACCTAGAGTCATGACCAGTGTATTTTTCATCAGACAGGATTGTAGAAGCATTATGGCACAGAACAAGGCCATTTGGACCTTTATATCTGTGCTGGCTCTCAAAAGGAGCACCATGACTTAGTGCCGTTCTGCTGCCTTTTCTCCATTGTACAGGAACCTTGTACATTACTTCAGTTCAAATAATCCTTTAATGCCCTCTCAAATGCTTCAATTGCAAACCTGAGCAGGACTTACACAGTTAATGTAAGGGCCCTGGGGAGTGTTGTTGAACAAAGAGACCTAGGGGTGCAGATGCTTGTAAGTTCCTCGAAAGTGGAGTCACAGGTAGACAGGATGGTGTAGAAGATGTTTGGCACTCTTGCCTTCATTGGTCATAACACTGAGTGTAGGACCTGGGGGGTCATGTTGCAGCTGTACAGGATATTGCTTAGGCCACTTTTGGAATACTGAGTTCAATTCTGGTTGATCTTCGATAAGAATGATGTTGTTAAACTTGAGAGAGTGCAAAAAGATGTACAAGGATGCTGCTGGGCCTGGAGGGTTTGAGCATTAGTGAGGGACTGAATAGGCTGGAGCTTTTTTCTCTGACGCATTGGAGACTGAGGGGTGACCTTATAGAGGTTTATAAAATCATGAGAGGCATGGATAAAGTGAATAGTCAATGTTTTTTCCCCAGGGTGGGAGAGTCCAAAACTACATGGCATAAAATTAGGCACCTGGATGGGTATATGAATAGGAAGGTTATGGAGGGATACGGGCCAAATACTGGCAAATGGGACTAGGTCAGATTGGGATGTCTGATCAGATGGGACAAATTGGTCCGAAGGTTCTGTTTCTGTGCTGTATAGCTCTATGACTCTGCTTCCAACACAGTTCCAGATAGTACATTCCATACCCAGTCCACTCGTGCAAAAAATGTTTCTCTCACATCACATTTGCTACTTTTTCAAATCACTTTAAATCTGTGCCCTTTCATTCTTAATGCTTTTAGGAGTGGGAACAATTTCTCTCTATCTACTCTAGCCAGACTGCACTCGATTTTGAAAACTATCAAATCTCCTGTTAGCCATCTTCACTCCAAGGGGAACAGTCCCAAATTCACCAATCTATCTTCGTAACTGAAGTTTCCCATCCATGGAAACATTCTTGTGAATCTTTTCTGCACTCTCTCCAACGCATCCACACCCTTCCTGCAATGTGGCACCCAGAACTGTACACAATACTCCAGCTGAGATCTTGTTGAGACAGTTAGTAGAGGGAATTGTGCAGTTTCTCTTTTGATCAGATTTGATTATTTGGTACCTTTTCCACCAACAGGTTTCTGGTACGATGGAGACTGTGGATCCAAACATTCAGATCACCACATTACAACCGGTAAGTGGAGAATACATAGTATGGCCAACATATTTTAAAGACTTTTTAACCATTATAACTTTTTGAATATCACTTGATAAGACTTGAATGAACATTGCTGTAATTTTAATGTCAGCACGGCTTGAATAATATTTTTTGGCCCTGAATGTTCAGTGGGAAAATGGAGGAACCTACTGGAAAACAGCAGAATATAACTCAGAGAGGGAAAGATGGTGTAGGAAGGGGTTTCCGATGGTAGATCAATTAAAGTCAGGGACGCTTAAGAGCTCACAACCAGTGGTGTACAGATATCTCAGAGGGGTGTAGGCCAGAGAGATGGAGGGACCAGGCCTGGGATGGGTTTAAAATCAAAAATGACAGCTTTAAAAAGCAAATGTCACTTGACTGAGAGTCAGTGTAAGTCAATGAGCACAGGGATGTTCATATTCCATCCGTATTCAAAGTTTTTGGACTTTACGCAGTAGTAACCTCATAAAACAACAATCACACACATGGATTGAAACAGGAAGATTGAAGCTTGACAATTGTACTGCTACACCTGCTGAAATTCTCTGGTTTTCCGATGTCATCTGTGTGGTCTTCCTCCACTTTGATGAGAGTCGGCCAGATAAACACACGTAATGCAAAGCAAGGTTCAGGACCTGGTTCATCTTCCATGCGGGCTGACTCCCAACACTCAGTGCAGCATAAGCGCAAACGACTTGTCCTTTGCACAAACTGGCCCCTGCTGAATGGAAACCAGATGCTCTTAATGACAACTGGAGCATGCACACATACACATTCCATTGAGGCAACATTTGCAACATGAGCTCCAACCCCTTGTGTCAATGGGCTGTTTGATAAAGCAGGGGAAATTCAGAATTAAGCTGAACCCTCCTCTCCCTGACTTCAGTCTAGAGCAACCAGGAATAACAAACACCAGGTTATTTTTCGACAACTAATTTAGGACCACAACAAATTGTTGCAGCAAGCGCAACATTGATGGGCCTTTGAGATTGAAAGTTTACTGGTCTTTAAGACTTAGTTCCTACAGAGGCAGCGCATTAACTCAATGAGTGGAGTAACTGACCATTTAATCATCATAGAGATTACAGTGTGGAAGCAGCCTATTTGGCCCATCAAGTCCACACCCACCCTCCGAAGAGCCTCCTACCCAGAACTACGCCATCCCTGTAACCCCAGTATTTCCCATGGCTAATCCATCCACCTAGCCTACACATCCCTGGACACTATGGGCAATTTAGCATGACCAACCCACCTAACCTCCACATCTTTGGACGATGGGAGGAAACCCACACGGACGTGGAGAGAACGTGCAAACTCCATACAGTCAGTCTTCCGAGGGAGAAATCATATCCAGGTCCCTGGTGCTGTGAGGCAGCAGTGTTAACCACTGAGCCATCATGCCGTCTGTATAGGAATTTGACGGTGTTTGCTCATCTGGCTTTTCTAAATAACTTAGACTATTCCACTGAATTGTGTTAAACATTGATAAGGTATCTGTGTCTGATTACATTCCAACCTTTGTAATTCTACCCATTTGTTCTTGGTTATTAAATGTGGACAAAAAAGCTGATTCCTGGTTACTGTAGCTAATGGTGACATGTCTGCCCTCCCTCCACCTCCTGCCTTCTTCCCAAGTACAAAATACAACAAGTTATCTTTCATTTTGACAAAACTAAACCGCAGAGTTTGTAAATTCATGACAAAGATTGCTTATTATAAAACTTCCAATCAAACCATTTTTTTATTTCTCCTGTGAAGGGCAGCACTTTCAGATTCAAATATCATAAAGCAATCTAGACAGAAATTCAGACAACTTGAACCCATGATTCACACCTGTTTCTGAAAGCATTTGTTGTTTTATTATACTGTGGATTTTCTGAAATCTTAACTGGAATTATGAACCTTCCAAAGGCTAATGGAGTTTCCACTAACATTATAAGAAGGATTAGGAGGATGCCAGTATCCCAGTACCAAAAAAGAAAAAAAGAATATATCAGATAACTGTAGAACAGTCAAACTAATACTGCTTGGGGTAGGTTTCTAAAGGATATAATATGGAACAAAGTTAACACAACCCTACAAAGATATGCATTGATGAAAGTCAACTATTCAGGATTTCTAAAAGGCAAACTGCACCTCAACAAAAGTAATAAATGCCTTAGAGGAAATTGGGAGCAATCTTGATGAATTGAATTGTCTCCTTCTACAGTATAAAGTACAACAATTCCAGAAAATGATATCCATCACCTCATTCTCTGGAAGTGAAGTTTATTCGGGAGGTTAATGGAGTAAGGGACAGGGTGTTTGTTTATTTCCTTCTTGCAATGTGAAGCCAATATTTATTGCTCAGCTTTATTGCACTCAAGTATCTCCTAACCATCCTAAACATTACAACATACCTCAGGAGTAGCTGAGACTTGAGTCTGGACCTCCTGGCTCAGAGGAAGGGACACTTTCACTGCACCACAAGAGGAATTTAATTGCACTAGTGAAGATGGTGGTTATTATCATCTGGTATGGTCTTTTCTGAGACTAGATGGAACTGGGGAGAGGGTGATTGTTTTATGTTAGCTAGGGGGTAAATCTGGTGAGTATTTGACTAGATTTACACATATGAGGAACAGGTAACCAGCATGGTGGGAGTTTTACTGAATGCAAGTAGGCATAATGCCTTGACTAGAAAGGTTAAATCTTGGCTTTCTAATCCTTGACTAGAAAGACATTGGTGTACTCACAATGCTGTTAAGGAATTCCAGGATTTTTGCCCAGCAACAGAAGTGGAAGTATAATAGATTTCCAAATCAAGGAGATGTGTGGCTGAGAGGGGAACTTGTAGGTGGTTGTGTTCCAATGCATCTGCTGTGCTTGTCCCTCGAGATAGTAGAGGGCTTGTGTTTGGAGGACACTTGTAGGAGGGGTTTAGTGAGTCATATTCAAAGCAGTCTGTGCAAGAAACAAGTTATAATAGTTCAATGGCTTTTGCAATGTGTATGGTAAATGTTCCTCAGTTGTAACATATAAATATACACATGACCCAGAGGACAGGGATTAGTTTAATAAGTATGTAACTTATGATTGCACTGCTCAGAATCGCTCAAAACTTTGTCATGCACAATAAATTATTGACATGTGATGAATGAAATGTCAGCAATTCTAATGTTTGCATTTAACAATCTCTTTGTTGTATGTTGAAGTCCCTATTTGCTGTTTCATGAAATTTGTCTTCTACATTTTTTTGTAGAAACTTCCTGACCAACCAGAAGCAACTCCAGACCAGAAATCCATGTTAGGCTCTGGGGAGGAGACTATTACAAGTGCTCCTGTCAAACTGGATATTTTAGGTGAACACCATCCCTGCAATGATTCCAAACAACCTACACTTAAGACATCTCACATGGAATCAAGGCTATATTTTATTATACTTTTTCATAACATTTAGTAGCAGTTCAAAATTGGCATAATGTAAAGTGCAATACAATTTAATGTATTTTGTTGTAGCATGTAGTACATATGTCTTGTGAGGCTGCTCACTTGCAGCATAAATTATCAAAATATATTTTCATGTCAACATTACAACCTGAGCAGTTTTATACGAATTCCAGACCCTCAGTGTGCAGAATTAGGAAGACCTCAGACTGTAGCCTGTCCCCACTGAGCCTCTATGGTGGCTGCCCCAAGCTTTAGTTTCTCCCTAGGCTATAATCTTGGACTTTGGAATGTGCCAGTTTGTAATAATCAATTATCACTAGCTCTTGGCACTCAAAGGCTAACATATTTGAGACAGACCAAAATGTGTCTTTCACTGAGTTGATGGTCCTGCAGCAGTTGATATTTCAAGTCATAGAAAGAGGCCCTTCAGCCCATCATGTTGTGCTGGTCATCAAACATCAATCTATGCAAATCCTATTTGCCAGCATTTGACTCATGGCCTTGTATGCTATCGCATTTCAAGTGCTCGTCTAAACAGTCCCTAAGTGCGTTGAGGTTTCCTGCTTCTCCCATTCTTTTAGGCAGTGAGTTCCAGTTACCTACAACCCTCTGGGTGAAAAAGGAATTCTTCAATTCCCTCCTGAACCTCCTGATCCTCACCTTAAATCTGTTCCACCTGGTTATTAACTCCTCTACTAAGGGGAAAGGTTCTCCCTATTTACCTTGTCAATGCCCCTCAGAATGTTGGACACATCAATTTTACCCCCCCTCAGCCTTCTCTGCGCAAAGACAAAAAACTCAAGCCTAACTAGTCTCTGTTCATAGCTGAATCGCTCCAGCCCAAGCAACATCCTGGTAAATCTCTTCTCCACCCTCTCTAATGTAATTGCATCCTTCCCATAGTGTGGTGACCAGAACTGTGCACAATACTCTGACTGTGACCTATTACCTCCTTGCTCCTTTAACTCATTGTGCGAACAACCAGTAGAGAACAGTCTCCTTGAGCTTTTTGGGATGAATACTGTTGAAACCACTCTTTCTAGACTTTCTTTGAAATGCCATATCCACAAACAACAGTAGTGGTAACAGAAAATGGGAATGAATGTACTAGACCCAAGCAGACTACAGCCTTAGTCCAGAGGAAACCATCTCAAGGTGATACTTAGCTTCCAGGCTATTAGTAGCAGTATATAAAGACTCCATAAGCATGGCCCTTCCTGCTGAGATCCACACAGTTTAACATTCCTGAGGGCATTTCATGTGAATTAGGATACCATCATTCAGAGTTTCTTGTAGTTAGATATGAAGCAGGTTGGAACAGACCAACTTTATTTGAGATGACCTGCTAATTTGTGAATGATCATGGCAGAACCACAGCTGGGTATTTGCTCCATATTGAAAAGCCATCAATTCGTTTTAACCAAAAAACAACAGAACTTGGCTGCCAAGGGGGCCCTGTGACATCAAACGCTTTAATAAATAAAAGCAAAATGCAGCAGCTGCTGAAGATCTGAGATGAAAACAGAAATAGCTGGAGAAACTCAGCTGGTGTGGCAGTGTCTGAGGATAGAGAAACAGAGTTAATGTTTCAAGACCTGGATGACCCTTCATTGGAACTGAAGGACCTTGGTGGAGGGAGGAGACGACTCGTAATGCCACCTGTCACCCCCACCAACCTTCCACTTGTTCTGCGAGGCCCTCCAAAACCTGTGTTTCCTCCACCTACTCCCCCTCCATCCCCTGGGCTCTGGGATCCTTTTCCCTTATAATACCTCAGGACATGTCTTTCTGGGGCAGTCATGATCTTCTTTGGGCTCCTTCCTGCAGTCCTGGCAGTGCCCAATACTGAGCTGTAGTGCCGCTGGCCCATCTGATTGACTGTCTGCTCTTGAGGGCTCCCTCCCTGTGAGGGGCAAAATCCTGTTCACCACCACTTCCGCTCACTGATGAAGCATTATGGTCGTGGGGTAGGACTTGGTGCTGAATTTCTTTCCTGGGATGCAGGGAGGAGAGTGAACTGTTCATTCCCCAACTATAAAATGCAGCCCTTGGACTCGGGGAATAGTCTAAAAATTCGGCCCAGAACCTTTCAGGAGCTAAATGGAGAAACAGTTTGACACACTAAGGGTGGCCGACGATCAAAATTCTCTTCCAAAATAGTGATTGACAGTAGATCAATGTTAATTTTGAATCAGAGATTGATTGAATTTTGCTAATGGATACATTAATTAAGGGACATGGGACAATGGCAGGTCTATGGGGCTGGATCGAGGTGAGCCATGATCTCGTTAAACCATGGAAGACTTGAGAAGCTCCATGGTGGGAAGCAGACGTCAGTCTAACCAGCTCGTGCTTCCAGTTTGTGAAGTGGAGTCTTTTTGCTGCTTGTCAGAGCCAGGAGCAGCTCAGTGTGATTAAAGCCGGTAGATGGGGCATCTCGCAACCAAAGGGACAGGCAGTGTACAGAAGGTCCACCTTCTCCAAAACCATTCACTACGGCTTACACAATGGCACACAACAAAAGAGTTTCAACAAGCAGACATAGCAGAGAGTTCTCCTGGCGACTTGACTAATATCATTAGCCCAATTCTTCAGCCAAATTGGATGTAAATTGATTATTTTTCTCATGAATGTTTGAACTAATTTCCTGAATGCAAAATGCTCAGTCACCCTCTACAAACTAATGGCTGTATTCAAACATGAGTTATTTGACCAAAAGCCATTTAGATAACACGTGAGAACTGGCAATTAGAGGTGGCACTGTGGCTCAGTGGTTAGCACAGCTGCCTCACAGCGCCAGGGACCCGGGTTTGATTCCAGCCTCAGGCGACTGTCTGTGTGGAGTTTGCACATTCTCCCCGTGTCTGCGTGGGTTTCCTCCGGGTGCTCCAGTTTCCTCCCACAGTCCAAAGATGTGCGGGGTAGGTGGACTGGCTATGCTAAATTGTCCATAGTGCCCAGGGAGATTTAGGTTAGGCGGGTTAGACATGGGAAATAAAGGGTCTGGGTGGGATGGTCTTCAGGGGGGTGGTGTGGACTTGTTAGGCTGAATGGCCTGTTTCCAAACTGTACGGATTCTATGACCCAAATCCCCTTCACCCTCAATCCCCTGGCATAGTCTTTGAGTTTTCACACTGTTTGAGTGACATCTGCATTTAGATGGGCTTAAAACCTGCAAAGAGTAATATTGGGAAGCCCAAAGTCGTTGTCATAGAGTCATAGAGATCTACAGCATGGCCCATTGCATCACACTGGTCAAAAACAACTACCTAGCTATTCTAATCCCATTTGGCCAATAGCCTATATACTTTGGCATCTAAAGTGCACATCGGAAAACTTCTTAAATGTTATGAGGGTTTTTGCTTCTACCACCCTTACAGCAGTGTGTTCCAGATTCCCACCACCCTCTGGGTGAAAAGGTTATTCCTCACCTCTTCACTAAACCTTCTGCCCCCGCTTTAAATTGTTCCCCCAGTCATTGACCCCTCCATCAAGGGGAAATGTTTCTTCCTATATACCCTACCTTCGCCCCTTATCATTTTGTGCATCTCAATCATGTCCCCTCTCAATGTCCTCTGCTTGAAGGAAAACAACCCCAGGCTGTCCAATCTCTCTTCATAACTGAAACTCTCTAGCCCAGGCAACATCCTGCTGAATCTCCTCTATACCCTATCCCGTGCAATCACGTCCCTCCTATAATGTGGATTCTAGAACTGCACACAATACTCTAGCTGTGGCCTAGCTAATGTTTTACACAGTTCCAGTACAACCTCCCTACTCTTAAATGGTATGCCTTGATGAATAAAGGCAAGTATACCATATGCCTTCTTAACCACTTTACCCACCTCTTCATTGTAGGTGGTTCCTGCCACAAGATCTGTCCCCTAGTCTTCCTCTACCCAGCCACTATCGAGCACTGAACATTAGTGTGCTTTTTCTCCCTGAGCTGTATGTCCAAGCCCATATCCTCTCCATTGTCAAGCCTTTCCCCTTCCTAACATTTCCCATCTCCATCTCAACCTCATCTGTTGCTGAAACCCTCATTCAAGCTCCTGTCACTTTCAGACTTGACTATTCCAATGCTTATCTGGTTGGTCTCTCACCTACACTATCTATAAGCTTGAACTCATATAAATCTCTTCTGCCCATTAATCTCATCAAGATCCAAACACCCATCACTACCATGCTCAATGACCTAGACAAGATCCCAAGCCAGGAACACTTTGATTTTAAAATTCTCATCTTTGTTGTCAAGCTCCTCTAAGCCCTTGTCCCTCGCCTATATATCCATAACCTTCTTCAGTATCATAACTTTCCAAAATCTCGGTGTTCCTCCCATTCTTTCCTCTTGTGAATCCTCAATTTTCACCGCTCCAGCGTCACTGCACGTTGCAATTTCAGGTGCAAGCTCTTGAATTCTCTTCCTGCACCTTACCATGAAGCTGTTGCGTTTTGGTTTTTTTAAAGAAAAAAATACAGTGAATATCCTTTAGGGAAGCAAACCTGACATCTGTACCTTGACTGGCCTATGTGGGCTCCAGTCACAGACCAACATCGTTGACTCTCAAGCATTCAGTGAAATGGCCTTGCAAGCCACTTGGCAACACTAAAGTGGTATTGGGCTCTGCCTAACAACGTTGTGTGAGAGTATCTTTACTAAACAGAGGGTAATGCTTAAAGAAGTAGACCCACCACTATGACCATTTCTGGGCAATAAATGTCAGCCTGCCCCAGAGATCCCCACAACCCGAGGATCAATTTGCTTTCCTAAAAAAAAGTGTGCTACATGTAATGTTGATTGAGAAAAATTGTGGCATAGCAAACTGAATGTGTGCAAATAGATATCAGTGGATTTAGCTACAAAATTCATGATTAATAATCAAAAGCAAAGGGTTCTAGAAGTGATGTGGTAGTGTCCCTACCTCTGAGCCAGGAGGCCTGTGTTCAGATCTCATCTGCTCCAGAGGTGTCATAACATGTCTGAACAGACTGATGAAAAATATTAAATAATTCAAAAATCGCTAAAATGATTTATTTGATGATAGATGTGAAAGAAGGCATTGACATCAAGCCTGAGATTGAAGAGTCCTGGCCATTGTCAAAAGGAGACAAGGTGAATTAAAGTAGAGAATTGTTCAGAATGTTGTATGTTGGTAAATCTCACCCACCACATTAAACTGTCAATGGGTTAACTTGTTATGTGGTGAAGGGTTCCAATAATTAAAACAAAAACAAAACTTGCTGGAAAAGCTCAGCAGGCTGGCAGCATCTGTGGTGAGAAATCAGAGTTAACATTTCGGGTGAAGTGACCATTCCTCAGAGAAAGGTAGCTCTATTTTCTCTCCATAGATGCTGCTAGTCCTGCTGAGCTTTTCTAGCAATTTTTGTTTTTGTTTCTGATTTGCAGCATCCGCAGTTCTTTCTACTTTTCTTCAACTGATGGATGTTTAATTATAAGAATCTGGTCCCTGTTCTCTGTGTGTGATTAATTAAGCCTGGATATGGTCACTTAGAAAAATTACCTAAACTGCAGGTCAGCTGGTGTAAACGTTGAGCAGAGATTTCAAGCTATTGCAAATAAATCTCTCTCTCTTACACACACACACACACAAACAAACACACAGACACACAAACACACAAATAAACACACACAAACACCCATGCACACAGACACCCACATACACACAAACACCCACACACAAACACCCACAAACACCCACACACACACAAACACCCACACACACTCACACACACTCTCACACACACACACACACAAACACACACACAAACACCCACCCATACACACACACACACACAAACAGACACACACAAACACACACACAGACACTCACACAAACACACACACACAGACACCCACCCACACACAAACACACACACAAACACACACACACACACACACACACACACACAGCCTGGTGATATTTGCATACCTCTGAGGCCTAAAATGTAGCATTGAGTAGAGATCTACTTTCTCCCCCAAAATTCCCAATTTACCCTTCACCATTAGTTTCTTTTGATCATTGATGCCATTCCAGTCGAGACTTCAGACAACGTAAACTAGAAGTGCTACATGGAAATACTCAGCAGTTCTGTCAGTATCTGGGAGAGAAAACCAGAGGTAACAGGGGCTTAAAGAAACAGAGGACAGAATTTTGCCAACCCAGAAGGTGCTGAGAAAGGGAAACAATTGGGCAAGTTGGCACTGGAGAAATATTTGGCCCCTTCTCACCCCCTCAGTTCAGAGTGAGAAGGTCCACTGGGGACTTGCATGACCTGCCACCAATTTACACACTTATTGGCCACTTGAGGGTCTCAACTTGCCATCTCTCCAATCACAGGATCCCTACAGTGTGGAAGCAGGCCCATTGAGTCCATACCAACCCTCTGAAGAGCATCCCACCCAGACCCATCCCCTCTACCCTATCCCTGTAACACTGCCTTTCCCATGGCTAATGCACCTGGCCTGCACATCCCTGGACACTGTATAAGCAATTTAGCATGGTCTAACATAATAATCAGAGCAATGATCCAAGCTGGAATTTGTTAGATTTTTCCTTTCCTTTGAGTTGGCAGAATTCATTTTATCTTGCCCATTTTACCATCAAACTTATGAAAATGACAAATATCAGTGCAGCTTTCACTTGCTAGTGGTGTACTGAATGGATGATCTCTGCCTTCTGAAATTTATTTTCATGCATTCTCTTCCAGGATAAAGTTGATCCTTGTGTCTGTCCTGTGTCCCCTGGACCTCCAGGGCCAAAGGTATGGAAATGATTGAACATTGAACACTATATGGATGAGATTTTGTCAATCGGGATTGGAAGTCAGTGAATGTTAACTTGCAGCATTTTCTCCTGATGCTAACATTTCCAGGACATGTTCTACCCAATACGTCATATTATTCAGGATTCAATCATTTTAAAGTTGTTGTTCACAGGAACTTCTGGTTGGTCACGTTTTTCTTATTTCATCACCCCATTAATATTGCTGTTTGAATTTCTGTAAAAATTGTCAACAGGCTTTGTGGAGTCCTAATGAACCATCAATAGCCAACACAAATACTTGATGATCTGCAATAATGAATTGGCTTCACAACAGTTTCACTTTGTAAAGTGATTATGGTTGACTTACTCAGTACTGGAAGAGCTAATAAATAAAAAGCAGAACAACCGAAAGGACAAGGCAACATGGAGCTACAATGGGTGATGGGAACAATTGCTCAGCCTAGAGTTGTAGTGGTTCACAAGATGCGGGGGTCATTGGCAGGGCTAGTATTTATTATCCATCCTGAATTGCCCTGGAGGAGATGGTGGTGAGTCATCTTCTGGAAGGCAGCTGAGTGGTTTGCTAGATCTCCTCAGTTAAGATTCAACCACATTGTTGTGGGTCTGGAGTCACGTATGGGCCAGGCTGTGTAAGGAAGGCAGATTTCCTACCCTTGCAGATCACAAGCTGAACTGCGACAATCCAATAATTTCAACATTGTCGTTACTGAAACGAGCTTCTTATTCAATCAACCAAATTGAAATTCCTTCAGCTTCCTTGGCGGACTTTTGAGCTCATGTTTTTAGATCACAATTCAGTTATCTGGATTACTACTAACAGAAATGCAATGCCTCCCCACCTATATGGCTAATACTGTTCACTTGACATCTTACAAAGCTTTGCAAATTGGAGAGCCTTTGACTTCAATGTCTGTAACCAGGCTTCAGTGAGATTGGAGAGGGGTGTGAGAGATAAAATATCAGATCAAATTGAAAGAAGCCAGAATAATTTCTACTTTAATCTGTTTAGGAAACATCTATAGCTAAAGAACTGTGAGAACTAAGTGAGAAACATTTTTATTCTGTTAAACTGACATTTTCCAGTCAACAAGAGCCATCTTCAATTTTGCATGTTCTGCGAAGTGGCAGCATTATCCTGGTTTCAAGCCACTGATCTGACATCCAGTTACCTAAAACAAACCAGATTGAAAAACAGCATGTTGTGGATGCTAAAAATCTGAAATTAAAAACTGAAATTGCTGCACACACTTGGCAGGTCAGGCAGAATTTGAAGACAGAGAAATAGAGTTAACGTTTAGAGTCCAATATTACTCCTTCCAAAGAAAATTCATATTTGACTCCAAAGCTTTAGCTCTGTTTCAGGTCCATGGTCTTCCTTCAGATGAAACATCTCTACAGATGCTGCCCTAACATGATGAATATTTCCAGCATTTGTTTATCATCTGAGACGTTGCACTGGGGTTACAGTATAACTCCTATCCAGCTGGAATCCAGGATTCTTATTAAAAAAAACCTCTGTCACTTGGTGTCTCTCTTGAGAATTACCAACTTTTTTTTTGTCAAAGTTTTTAATGTGAGGATGCTCCTGTTTCCTGTTCTTCAATGGCAGACAGAGCAGAGATGTTTCCTGTGAAAGCATATCTGCAGAGATCTTTGTAAACGCAACTTGAATTACGACCAATGGGAAGTATATGAGGCTGCACCTCACTTCCCCTCAGATTAGCAACTTTTAAAAACATAGGAACAGGAGTGGGCCATTCAGCCCCTGGAGCTTGTTTTGCCATTCAATGAGATCACAGCTGATCTGTGGCCTAACTCTGCCGACCTGCCTTTGGCTCATATCCCTTAATACCTTTGCTTAACAAAACTTTATCTGTCTCAGATTTAAAATTAACAACTGATCTAGCATCCACTGCCATTTGTGGAAGAGGGTTCCAAGCATATACCATACTTTGTGTGTGGAATTTCATCAGACAAACAGCTTTGCCTGGGTCTCCTGCATTCCACAAGATAAATTTCATCCAGCAGTGTTGTCCCTTTACTTGATGAATGTATTTTTCCTGCAGGGGGAGCAGGGGATCCCAGGCCAACCCGGGCTATCTGGAAAAGATGGAGCACCAGGTCCCATAGGTCCAGCTGGCCCTGAGGGACCCCCTGGACCAGCAGGATTACTCGGACGACCTGGATTACCTGGGTCACCTGGATTACCTGGACCACCAGGATCGAGTAAAGAAACCAGCTGGTTTGGAAATGCGGTGAGTTCCTTTCATCTTTCTATTACTATGGAGTCATAACATTGCGACAATAGTGTTTGACTAGTGTTTCTACCCTTGTTTACACTGTAATTATGTGGAACACATGGTGTGCTCTGAAAAGTGGGAAACATTTCTACTTTTACACTTGGTACTTCACCAAGCAGCTGTGAAATAGGTGCTGCATGGAGTCACTGAGTCAGGACTGAATCAGGCAGAATCTGAAGACAGAGAAATAGAGTTAACGTTTAGAGTCCAATATTACTCCT